AGAAGAATACTGGCGGTAAACGGTTGATATGAGGCTTAGTATCTCCAAAATGACACAGCAAGCATGATTTGTTTGTTTGGTTAATTTGGATATTATTGTTTTCCTTTTTAAATTTGGAATTTATTCAATGCATTTTATGGAATACTTTCATTTCCTCTTAAAATTATAGCCATTTACTTTTGCGGGATATAAAATCTAATTTGGCACAAAGTTATTTACATTTTACAACTACAAAGGAACATAAGTTAGTAAATAGATAATTTGTATGTTGAAAGAGAAAAAAAGAGAGATAATTTGTGTAGGATGATGGGTTGAGAGCAAATGATTACTTTGGAGTGGTGATGTAGAAGTTAATGTGTGAGTTTATGGGCAAAGGAAAACGAAAAGATAGAGAAACCATTATGAGTTAACGCAGACATAGCCGCCATTTCCACTTCTCACTCCCACTTACAACTCTTCCTTTTGGGCAAGTTTTCCACATCAAGGCTCGTCCTAATCACCATTAATCTCTACTCATCATTAGTACATTGAAGTCCACTATTTTTCAAAATACTGCTATTGTAACTTCAACTTCTCGTGGAGAATTATTAAAAATACTTGTATTTCTTTATCTTTTCTTTGTTAAACAAATGTTTTATTTTTTTTTTACTGAATTTTTTAAACAAATGTTGTAACTAGATATTTAACATAGTATGTATAATTCACCTTATACATACTAATATACTATGTTTTGTCTTTCACCATTTGACGATTGGTTGGGTTAACATTAGAAATTTTACTAAATAATTTTTGATGTAGTTGCTTCTGATTTAAATTTAAAATTTTATAAAATATTTTCTATGATCATTTTTACACAGTTTACTAAATAATATTTTAGAAAACAGAATTTCATATTTATTTATTTTGTTTATTTTTAAAGATGAACAACACTCATTGTAGTCAAATGCATATGTTTTGTAAAGATGAATATACTAATATATATTATAGCTATTTTAACTTTATCATATGATTTTTATAAGAAGAATATAATAATATATATTATAAAATTCAAACTTTATAATGTTATTTCAACTATGCTAATTTAAATTTGGATGGTGCCTTACAACAACATTAATACAAACTTATGATATTATTATGCGCTATTATTAAACTACATGTTTGTCATAATGTGTAAATTACATCCCTTATATATTAATCCTGAAGCATTCATAAATGTACAACCTTGGAGAGAATGCTTACGTGTCAAGCTCACAGAGATTCTCATCCTTAATTTTTTAATGGACCAAATTTGCTAGGAATGAAATAATGTAACATTTAATTTCTTGCATTTAGGACTATAATATATAAACATTTTATACGGGACCAACTCTGCTAGGTATAAAACAATATATTTTATTTCCTTAAATAAAAGCTACGAAATTACCTAATATGATTATCATATATATGTAATTAATGATTATGAATAATACATATTTTTGTGTCCTCTCTCTTTTTTGTTTAATTTTAAATTATTAAAATAAATTAAAAAATCACATTAAATATATAATAAAAAATTAATTGTTTTTCTTATAGGTTATATTTTTAATTTTTAAAACGACCATAAATAACTAAAAATAGTAAAATCCCTCATTGAAAATTTTATGATCAATGGTTTAACTTTGTTTTTTTTACAAACAAGATACAAATTATCATAAATCGTACGAATATGAAGTATCATTAGTAGATATTCATATTATAAATATGTTAATTTAAAAATTTCAGTGAAAAGGTTTGAGGTTAGTAGGTACAACTTATAGTATTCAAAAGATTTTGTAGTTTGTTTTATTTGTTTTTTTAATATCTTTTAGTTTGTTTAGATAGTTTAACTAATTTTAAATTAGATTTATTAATAGTTTAAATATTTTGAATTTTTTGTCAACTTTCATGTTTAAAAAATATTTTTTGGGATAATTTCAGATATTGGTTATCCAATCCAAACTGAATTGAAAAGATCAAATCGAATTCAATCCGATAATTAGTAAAATTCAAATAGGATTTATGAGAATAATACCAAAATCTGAAAATATGTCTCAATCAAACCGAAACCGACGAAGTCTCAAGCGTCCAGACCTATGATAATTTAAGATACCAACATTTGTATTCATCATTTTATAATCGATAAATACTGTAGTATTGCAAACTGTTAAAAACCATTTAATAAATAAATATTAGTATAAAAATTTCAATCTGAAAATATGTCTCAATCAAACCAAAACCGACGAAGTCTCAAATGTCCAGACCTATGATAATTTAAGATACCAACATTTGTATTCATCATTTTATAATCGATAAATACTGTAGTATTGCAAAATGTTAAAAACCATTTAATAAATAAACTAGGATAAGACATGCGCCTTGCGCAGGGTGAATATATGTAATTAAAATATAAAATTTTAATATTCACAAATTTAAAATTTACATATGATTGTTTTTGTATGTATTTGAAATTTTAGAATTTTGGAATTTTTATATAATTATCTATACGTATGATCAAAAACATTTTTAATTAGAAATGTAAATCAAATCTTAGAATTTAATGGATCTGATTTCATATATCTTTTTACTTTTCAGTGT